TTTTTTTTTTTTTTTTTTTTTTTTTTTTTTTTGTATTTTGGTTAATAGTTTGAATAATTATTGTACAATTTTTTATCTTTTAATAAGAGTTGCAGAAATGTGAGGGTATGCACAGCTAAAAATTTTACTGCTGTTGATGATAGGACGTAGACGAGTAGCATAAAACTTTTATCTATTGTTTGCAATAAAAACTATGCATTGTGGATATATTTTTGTGAATATTTGTACTCAGCTCAGCACTGGAGGGACATTGAGTAGTGGAAGGGCTGGAATTTGTAAAACGGAGTTTTTTTGGCAACTGAAATAGACTTATCGTCATTTAACAATTCTGACTTTACCGCGTGCAAAAAAGTATTCGATATGTTAGCGAAGGTTATGATTTTTTAGATGTTGTAATAGTTCTGAAAGGGATTAGTAAATATAGTATTAATATTTATTTGTTAGATAATTAGAGTGGTGATTTATTTGGTGTAACATCACTTATGAAAAGATTAAAAACAAATATAATAGATTAAAAAATCTTTTAAGCTGTTAATGACTGAAGCTTTAATATTGCCAGACAGTTAGCGTATTGGTGATGTGGCACAACTTTTAGTGCTTGGTTGACTTTTTTTATTATTAAAATTGACTGTTTTTCTAGTCATGAGCTGAAATTCAGCTGTAATATGTACTACAGAAGTGATTTCTTGATCGACTGATCATTTTTTTTGAGGGTGTTTGAAGAACATTTTTCTGTGTTTGGTTTGTAAAAGTCGGCCGAAGTGTGAAGCGTGTGTAGGGAATGGAGTTTTAATGAAAAGCTATTTTTTTCTGGAATGGTAGATGAGAAGGAAGTGCGGGAATGGATGAGATCATTGGCTGACTAGCTAATTTTCTAGCACGCAGACAAGTACTGATAGGACTGGTTAAGGAAGTTACACGTTGATAAATTGGGAGTATCGAGTCATAGTTCTGGTTTAGTTATTTGATTATTTGATGGCAGTGGTATTCCGCGAGCTAATTCGAAAGCAAAAAAGCTCAAGAATCTATGCTTAAACGGAAGAGACTGGAAATCAGTTAACGTCGTGTTTTTCGGTAAAATGAAGCCAAAATCGCTATGAGAATTCTCGGTTGGATTTCAGTCACTATGCTGACATTTGTGACATCTTTTATGCTTTATAAGTGCAAATCGACTGCTGTATTTAAAATCAACTTTGGGTTAGATGAGTGGGAGATATATGTAGCTTGTCAAACGGATCAGAAAAGCAGAGATTGGTGAAATCCCAGCAGTTTTTGCTTGTTTTAATATGCCACTGAAGAGTAACAGATAATGGACAAAAAAACAACAATTGATGCGTTAGCCACAGTTGTTTGTCTCTCTGAATGTATAGCAGTGTGTAATTGGTACTATTCACAAAATGCTTTTGCTTCATTGATTCTGCTACGGCAGTTTCAGCAAGACAATGAATTAAACATCTGACTGTTTAAGGTGAGAAAGAAAAGTGGATAAATGATGATGAACATTTTTTACTGACTAAATGTGATAGTGTCATGGGGTAATTGTAAAATGAGGCCTGGATTTGATTGCTTCGACAAAGGTAACAGTTTACAATCAAAGAGTGATACCATTTGAAGAATGTTTTCCACAATTTAATTTAAATTAATGATGCAGGTATACTGTTGTTGCTATTGGATAAACGGTTGAAACGGTAGTGCATCTTGGTGGCTGTTTTAGATGCCGATTAATTAGTGTTCAAAGGATGCAGCTTGGTAAAGGTGATGATGATAATATGAGACTGGATAAAATATTTTGTTAAATTTGAAGAAAGATTTTTTTGGATATATATTCGTACGTATACGTATTTGTCTTTGTATGTGTAAAATACAGATGTATCTATGTATGTGTTTTTAAATGTTTTGCAATGTGTTTGTCTCTGTCTGTGTCTGTATTTAATTGTTAATGACTGTCACCAATGAAATGCCACTATTTCAACTTCGTTTTCCCATCGTCGTTTTTGTCGTTTTTTTGTTGCTGTTGTCGTCATCATCATCATCATCATCATCATCATCATCATCGTCGTCATAATTATTGTCGTCACCGACACCATCAACAGGTTACATCAACTCTAATATTTTTGTGCATCTGTATTTCGTCTATTTTGCCTTTCTGTGCCTCTGTGTTAGGTTGTTAAAACTGAAACAACTACCACCAGTAAACTATCACAACCGCAGTCAGCACCATATTACCTGTGGGCATTATCGACCCGAATGCAGAACAAAACTCATTTTCTGCTCTTTTAAAGGAGTAAAGAAGGGAAAAAAATTCTTTTAAAGTTAAACATTATTGTCTTCAGTTTCCAACAATTTTACCTAATGCAAATTATCGTCAACGAACATTACCAACTCGTTATACTGTTTCAGTAGTTACAGGTAGCTGGTTTGCTCACTACATTGGATTATTTCAACTGTTTACTGTTATCGTAAAGCTGTTAAAGCTTTTAACAACTATTTCCTTATTGATTGTTTATAATAGTTTAAAACTGATAAAGCTTTTGTTGTTGGTATCGTTTTAATAAAACCGTGCCGCTTTTTTTTTTTGTAAACGATAGATATGCTTATATTACTGTTGTTTCTTATTTCACCCAGCAGTTATCTTTGTATTTCAATGTGTTACCAACGAAAAATGGAAAATAATTAATCTTTTAAAATACTGTCATTTTATTAATGGATAATGATCTCTGAAAAAAAAAAAGATAAGAAAGACACAGACAGAAAAGAATTTTTGACAATTTGATGTTTGCTGTAGTTAAATTTAAGAAAAAAATTGTTGAAAATAAATAGATAAGTGATAATACTGCTTTTAGAAATGAAACAGAAGAACAAAAAGTTTGCTCAATTTGTTCCTTTTCTCTTTTTTTTTTTATTTGATGAAGTATAAAAGAAGATGGTTTTTTTAGTGTCGTATTGGTATGTTCATTAGTTTATCTGTGCAGTACTAAAAAGAAAGACTTTGATGAGCGTTGTGGAAAGTTAACTCAATGATTGTCATCTTTCAAAACTTTTCGTTTTTTCTCTTTTTTTCCCGTTTTTTGAGGGAGAGATGAAGAAATTGTAAATTGGGCTAAAGCAATAGCAATTTATATGTTTTATTTTCCAACTTTTGTGGCATTTTAAAATTACTATTTAGTACTGCAATTGCTGTCAGTAAACTTCAAAATAAACTTTGCTCACCAGTTTTCTTAATGGCACCTTTACATCGCAGTTGTGGTAAATCTTTCAAAACATTAATGAAACGATGATCATTGCTTTTTTAGACGCTAATCTGTTCTAAAAAAATTGTTCCATAACATTTTTGAACCAAAAGTTATGTGACATTTGATTGGCCAACAACAGCATTTGACTACCAAACTTTTCTTAGAATCTTTGGTTTTCGCCAATTGTCAACATTACCTTTTAGAGTTTCTTTTTTTTTGGTCAATTTTTGGAAGTCTGTTATTTAAGAGAACTTCTCTCTTCTTGCATAAATAATCTAATTTTGGTTAAACGAAAGTTTTGTCAGTTTTAATGTATAGAAAACTAAACTGTTTTCTGCTAAACTGCTTTTATGTATAGTTTTCAAAGAAAATTGTTAGAAAAATTAACGATACCTTATTGGGATATTAGTAAAAAGGTCAAAGAAAACTTTTACAGTTTGAAAACTGCTATTCTTGATGCTATTTAGATTCGACTATTATGTAGTAAAATTTTCGTGTAGTAAAATTGACCAAAATTTAGACTTGCATTGTCAGTGGGGAAAAAAAGCAACTTTTGTTGGCAATCTAATTTCTATTAATTGAATACGGGACAAGAAGTATATTAATTTTATCTTCAGATAGTTAAGATATCGTTTAACAGTTCAACAACACTTAACATTTTAAGAAATTTCTTTTTATAAATTTTTTAAAACCATTAAAGTAAAAGTTGTTTTTGGATAAGTTGCAAGAAAAAGGACTTTAACACTATTGATGGAACAAATATTTTTAAGGAACATTTTGCAACATAATTTAATGATTCTTGAAAAATATGTAGAATTTACTAAACGATTGGCAACGACGGCAACAACAGAGACTTTTTTCCAGAGAACGATATGAAACAAAAGTTATAATTTTTTAGAGCATATATAAATTTTTTCACTTATATTTTAAGTATATTGTCTGAGGGTTTGATTAAAATACGATGGAAAATTGGTATACGTCCAAAAACAGTACGTTTTTTTGTAGTTTCCTCTAAATAGATATTGGGCATAAGAATTGAAATATAATTACGCTGAAAACTGTACCTTATCTCTTGACACTTCCTTCTTCTTTTTTTTTTTCTCTCAGTAATACTTATTTTAAAGGTTTAATGCTGCATAATTTAGCACCATCTTTTTCGATAAATAACATCGTCGTTCTCAATGGCGAATTGATTGATTGAACATTTTAGAAAATTTTAGTGGTGGAGGGACAGAAAAAAAAAAAAAAGCAGTAACAGCAACAATAAGTATTAAAACTTTAAATGATAAAGGAGTAAAAAGAGGAGGATAGGGAGAAGTGTATGAAAAAGTAACGACAAACAGTAAATTTTTTTTATCAATTTCAGTTCAGCACCGACGACGACAAAAGAACAGTTTGGCGGAAATGAAAGAAAAGAAAATACAGCTTTTTGTTATTTTCTCC